AAGAGCATTGCCGCGAAACACCTACAGAAACTCATTACCTCGTAAGCATCCAAAGAACTAATCATATCCTTACCATGCCGATCCGGCCTACTACCAAGCTATCTCATCTATCCGAGTTTCTTTCTGATTTACCTTCAACTTGATACTCCTTCTTGCTATAACACCACAATTCTTCAACCCAGACTCACCACACGAGACCCAAGTATGAAACCACACCGTCTAAGGCTCATAAGCCAGTGAATACTCTCTTAAATATTCCCAAAAGCACCATATTCAAAATACCTACCCTGAAGGGACTTCCTGCGAATCCAAAGCCATTACCTTTACCTTCCTGATACTGATATATAGATTCCCATAATGACATAGAAATACCACGAGTCTTGACACCTTCCAATGCAAACCTCAGTTTCTAGCCAAATATATAACTTGAAAATCTCCAATTGTTACATGTAAAAATCTTGAACCCATTAGAACCACTCTCAAGAGTCATCCACTCTACTCAAAACGCAATTAGACCGATCAAACGGAATGGACGACCTTTGCTCCAATAGCACTCCAACACTGCAGAGTGTAACCTCACCTTAATGCAACCAAGCAACTTCCTGTCCTATGCACCGTACATCCTTTACCAATAACAACTCAAGTCATCCCGTGATTCTCATACACCTATAAAGCATAACATAACCTGTATTGAAATTTCCTTTACTCGAGCCATCCTCGCTCTCAACCATTGGAGGTGATTTGGACTGTTTTGTATCAGAATTCGTAATTAAATCGAGTTCAAAAAATTCTTGTGCGACATGTATCAAACATGTATCACGCATGTATCTCACACACAGGTATACAAGGATATACATGTGATACACAATTGATACAAATATGACACATATGTGATACACATATTTTTTTTTCATGTTCAGTTTTTATTTCAAATTTTCAATTCAAACCACCTCAAAACTTCACCAAATCATCCAAAACTCAGATTCAAGCTCCTTAAGTAGTACCCAATCTATTCTAATAACACCCACTCAAAATAAAAGCAAAAATTTGATAATTTTTTTGCTATAAATAGCTAATTGGCTAATATTAGTAATATTTTATGAATTAACCAATTTTTGTAATGAGCTACTTATAAATGGACATAGCTGGTAGTTTCCGTATATTATATGTCCACCAGCTTTTTCTAGTTTAAGTTGTTGTGTGAACGATTATTTAAGTTAATTTTTCACATTATATATATATATATATATATATATATATATTATATGACTTGTAAAAGTTTGTAGAGAATTTTGCACCATATGATGATTTAGAATTGAACAAAGAGACGCTTTGTAGAGAATCAAAGCAAAATTAAAGTAATATAAAATTAATTTTCTACTTGGTCTCCACACGAGTTAAACCATCAACATACGGGTTGATAGTTTTTATGGTTTCAGGACTCAAAAATTTAAGAAAATCAAATCAAGAAAAAGACAAGTAAAGGAAGAAAAGCTTTAGCACGTATTCAAAAGATCTTTACTTACAAGCCGTCTCAGAAATAGGGGTATGACAAAATTGTTGAGCGCTTACATTTGCATGTTCTTAAATCTGGCGTTCCATCATCTTCTGCTAAAACTTTATTAGCATCCGGTATATAGGGTCAATTGTGATTAAATAAATGAGATAGCTGAAAAGAAAGGAGAAAAACATAAAAATATGTGACTTAACGATATTAAAAAAATGCGGTATCAGGAAAATATTTTTTGGATGATTTTTTTTTATTGAAAATTTTCAGTTGTTTAGTATATATCTATATTATTATAAAAGCATGAATACAATGTCGGTTTACAAAAATAACCTTATAATATTAAGCATAATAACTTATAGTAAAAGGACATATTCGAAATTTTAGATATTGGCTTTATAATCCTATTAGTTTTAGGACATAAGTACTGCATATTATGAATCCTAGAAAAGCATGAAAAAGTAATACTTACCGTTAAAAGTTCATAAGCATTCTACAATTTAAACTTCAAAAGAGATGATGAAAACCAGAAGGACTTTTTCGTTGCTTGGCATATAATCACTATTCACATATTTATTTTAGAAATTGTGCTATACATATATGTAATATCTAGATTTTGTGTAAATATCTTACATTCGCCACCCCAAAAATATGCACATGCATATATCATTGATTAATCTATCTATCTATATCTATATCTATATATATATATCTATATCTATCTATATTATTATAAAAGCATGTATACAATGTCAGTTTACAAAAATAACCTTATAATATTAAGCATAATAACTCATAATAAAAGGACATAATCGAAATTCTAGATATTAGCCTTATAATCCTATTAGTTTTAGGACATAAACTACATGTTAGGAATCCTGCATGATTACTTTTAGGAATCCTATTAACATAATTACTTTCAGGCAAAGACATATAATACTACATGTTAGCATGTATACCTAATATCTTTAGGAACACGTTATGTTTTCTATTAATATAATTACTTTCGGGGTAGAGACGTGTTTTTAGTCATATAATCCTATTACTTTTAGGAAATACTTCTTAAAAATTTCTATTACTAATTTAATTTGAAAACGTATTATAATGTCCTATTACTAATTTAATTTGAGAATGTATTATATTGTCCGAATCGATTTAGAAAAAAGGAGAGCATAAATTATGATAAAAGCACAAATATAATATTAATAGACCATAATAGCCTTAAAATATTAAATGGAAGAACTCATAGGAAAAGAACATAACTGCAATAACCTATTTTCTGGACTAATTTGAAAATGTGTTATATTGTCCAAATCGATTTAGAAAAAGGAAATCCTATATTATTATAAAGGCACAAATACATTATTAATAGACCAAAATAGCCCTAAAATATTAAATGAAAGAACTCATAGGTAAAGGACATAACTGCAATAACCTAATTCTTGGACTACAATACCTTCTATGCTAACTTTTAATATTCAAAATCTATTAAATTCTTATTTAAAAATATGTAGGAAGGTTTAATAAAATCAATTTTTTTAATAATCCTCCATATTGGCAATACATTACCACTCCATAATGTCCAATACCAAAAAATAATAAAAGTAATATTAATTGGGCTGCATAAAGAGTTGAAATTGAGGAAAATAATATCCCAACGATAATATATTTTTATATTATATTTGAATTGTTTTCCTACTCAAATAACCATCACAAATATATATCAAAGCAGAGCAATGATGCTAAATTTATAAAGAAAGCAAAATTGATAATATGGGATGAAGCACTTATAACTAAGTGTCAAACGATCGAAACAACTGCCCAGAGTTCTAGAGATATATTGGATGTTAATGGACCGTTTGGTGAAAAAATTAATGATTTGGGAGGTGATTTCTATCAAGTACTACCAGTAGTTCCAAAATCGACAAAAACAAAGACTGTAAAAGCTAGCTCGCCAAAGTAATACTTCTGGCCTCAAATAAAAAAGATTCAACTGACAAGAAATATAAAGTAAGAACAGATCCGGCATTTAGTGTCTTCTTGCTTCATGTCGGAAACGAAGAAGAGCATCCAATAAAAGATGATTTGGTTCTTCTCGAATACTTGGTTATCAACCCCAATGCTAACAGTAGTGCATTTAGTAAGAGAAATATTTCTATCATTAGATTAAAATGCAATTTGCAAATCGCATGATAGAATTAAAAAGTTATCTTAGCTATCAGAAATAAATATGTTGATCAACTAAATAAAAGGTTGATTGCAAAATTTTATAGTAAAAACAAAATATTTTTCAGTTTTTGACTCAGCAGAGAATGATACCAATAATTACTACCAAGAAGAATACTTAAATACTTTAATATCAAATGGCCTTCTACCATACACATTTGTTGTCAAGTTTAATATTTCTTACGCATGTTAGTGTCACCGTATATATAATAGACTAAGTTATAATTGATCTTCCATTGTATATAGGTTGTTTTTGAAAAATATATGCTCGTCATGCTACTGAAAAACATAGATACGCCGAATAACTTATGTAATAGCACACAGATGGTATATAGAAGTTGTGACAGTAATGTCATACATGCAAAATTATGATACTGGTCAATGTGCTTCTAAGTATATTCTTATCCCTGAATTCAACTTTGGTCTTCCAAAACTAAGGAATATTCTTTTAAATTTGTGTCAAAATAATTTTAGTATGTTTACGTTTTTCAAATATAATAAATAAATCACTAGGACAAACATCCTAATATTAGATTATATTTACCGCAATATATTTTCTTGCACAAACAACTGTATGTTGCACTTTCAAGAGGGATATCAAAATCGGCAACAAGAGTTCTGGTTAAGGTAGAGTAACCAATTAGGAGGAAACATACACACACAAAAATATCGCCCACAAGAAGTGTTCGGTAAGATACCATCACATTAAATACTTTTAAATTATACTTCCTCCGATCCACTTTAAGGTTAATATGGTCAATTATATTTTTAATTAATGATAAAAGGTGAATTCCTTAATATGTGTGAAAGCAACCAAAAAATCACTTAAAGTAGACCGGAGGAAGTACTAACACATTATTATCTAAGTAACATGACAAAATTGATCATTTGTGTGATGTTGTCCTTTTATTTTAAATTCATCTATTATGCTAATATAATAATATTTTTAGGTATTTAGATGATTATTATATTATTATATACAAAATTTCTCTCATTAATTAAATTTTATTGTTCCTTCATATAATTAAATGTTTAAACCATTACGTGTCATTATTAACGTGCAACGCACGTTCATAAATACTAGTTTTAACTAAATGGAGGAAAATAACTTTCGATCATTTTCCTTCACAACAACATCTCAACTCCACCAGTTGTCCGAGATGTAAAGATTGATACATAAATGTATCAACTTTAATATCTCAACACTTGGACATTATTGTTAATTGTTTGTTTTAAAAGACTTGATCAAGTCATTCGCTAACGATATGATCAACCTCTAAATATTGTTTTATTACAAAAAATAATTTTCAATCTGCAACCCAAACGGGAAACATTGACATTTTTCAAGAAAACATTTCATGTTATGCGAAACACACGTTTGGGATATTAATACATGTATCCATAACTAATAAAAAGTCATGAAATGACGGAAAATAAAGGTGTAAGAGTGGTTGTCCACATTTTGTGTGAAGGATGCCTTGATATCTCCTTACTATGTTTCCATAATGATATCTACATTCTGAAGCCTTACTTTTGGAAAATTATCCTTCACTAAGGTGTCTAGCTATTAGCTTGAAAGTCTCTCAAAAGCTGTAGAGATTGACGATAGAGATTGAGATCCATTCCATCTACATTTCGTCCAACTCGTGCTTTTAGAATTGCCTGAAATCAGAAATCAATAAGTAACATCCCTGGCCAGAGTATCGGATGCTCTTGTAACGTTTTAAAGGCAAAAGACAACAAATAATCAGCTTATACAAATAGGCACTAGAACAAGCAGTGACATAGTGATCTTATTGTCATGTCTCATTCTATAATTTCGGCTAATGTCTTCTTAAACTTAAAGGCTTAGTAGAACCAGTATTTTCTCAGTGCTTCACAAAGATGAGTTTGATTTTATCATGTAATAACACCATTTATGAAGAACTAGATACTAGAATTGCATGGGAAGTGGGTAACAACTAGATACTAGAATTGCATAATATGAAGACCAAGGAACGCATATTTGCCAGACCATAAGAAAGTAATGCAGCTTGTGCCCCGAAATGAATATTCAATCTTTCATACCTCATGATCAGGTTCAAGATGCAGTTCTCCAATAAACTGGAAGATGGAACCAACGCGAAGATTGAGATTCAAGTGCCGTGTGTCAATTTCTAATGATGCATTCCTATCAACAATCACTGCAACAGCAGTCCCCACGTTATACTCTTGTAGCCTAGAAGAAACATAAAGAATAGCATGCCTTGAGTATCAATTAGCTTCCTTATGTAAGATTTCCTGACTAACTCAGTCGCAAAAACCGCGTTATGATGCTATCACCACCTTTGCATAGGTGACAACAATTTGAAGTGATACATGAAGCTGGAGCAGGGTTAAATTACAGATTATTTCTAAGCTTGTTATTGACAAGCAACAACCAAGATGGCCGGACTAAAGGCAACCCTTTTAATCCTACAAACAATTACTGGAACCTTTTAGTGGACTACAATAAAAAGGATAAAACAACGACTACACCTCAATCTCAAGCAAGTTGGGATCAGCTACATGAATAATTATTAACCATTTCGCTTCATTTAAGCTGGAAAAAGCCACAGATATTTCAATTAACAGGAAATAGAAGGTAAAATTCTCTCCAGATTGACTAAAACAATGGGACTAAATTGAGCAGATGCTACAATATTCTTAAGTCACGTTTTCAGCAAATTGCCGCTCACTCATAATTTTCAGCAGGGAATTAGATACAATTTCGGGACAAACATGGTCTGGCAGATCAATTAAAGACTACAGCAGAGTGAAAATGGAATTTAAGAAAGGCAAAGTTAGAGAAATAAGAGCTAGAAAATGAGATAAGTATTATCATTGATATCGAAGACTGATTACCCACTTTCCAGTTACACGAAGAGAGACGCCATGTTTAAAGTATGGCGTAGATGGAACCAGCTCTTCCAAAGAAACCAAAGCACCAGAAGCTACTGTCGCCATTCAAAGCAGCCGGAGTAAAGGAAATACAAGCTCTTGTTCGTTCCTACAAATTGCATCACGTATGATGAACATATAAGAAAGATTTCATCTTTGAACCTAAGTTGCTCGGACTCGGGTGCGGGTATCCGATACAAGGACAGATCCGAGTATCGGATTCGGGAAAATCTAAATTTTAAGATTCGGGGGTGCGGATCCGGATATAGATACGGGTGCGGGGATTCGGCTAATAAAAAATAGAGCTATAAAAATATTGTAAATTTTGAGAGATATTCTGTGAAAAACTTACATAAATATTATAGAATTCAATCTTTCATTCTCCAAGATGGACATTATTCTTTCATTCTCCTAAATCTGTTTTATTTTTGATTTGAGAAATCAAAATCTCAATTTTTCTCCCAAATTTGTCGATGGACTCCGGACAAAGTGTCCGAAGGCAGTTGACCGTATCCGGGACGTTTCCCGGTCCCGCTCCCGTCCCGGTCTCGTATCGGGATGGGGACGGCATCAAAATCGAAGAGTCCGCGCAACTTAGTTTTGAACTACCCCATTAGAGAAAAATTTATATGTAACTCGTTTCTCTAAAAGCACAGTTCTCCCTTCCTGAGAAAGTTATATTGCATAAACAAAAGCGTAAAATAAATTTTTTTTTTATATGTATAACATATTATTTTTGAAACCCCTCTAATATTAGAGAAATACAGGTTTAAATTCCAAGTATGACATTTTTGACTTTTCTGAATCCCCTACTCAGAACTATTGGCTCCGCTATAATCATATAACTCTAGGCAGGGGGGAGCCCTTCCATAAAGCAACCGTATTAGGCTCCATATTTGTGGGGGCCCCATTTCTTGTTACACCTAATAGACTATGTATAAGTTTAAAAGAGACTTCTAGAGTGAAAAAGTTTGATTTCTTTCTTTAACAAATATAGAGAAGAAGGATTTGCAAGTTGCAATTGCTATGATTTCTACCAAGGAAATTGCAATTGAAATGAATATCGAACCCGAATTTCGTAAGAAACGTGTGATATATAAGAAGTAACAATTTGATGCGAATGTTGATAATGAAATGTCAAAATCTTTCGAAGAGTCCATTAGAGTTGATTACTTTTATACATAATAGACAAGGCTATTTTTACTTCAAAATAGATTTGAACAATTTGAAGCATATAAAAATATTTTTGGTTTTCTATTTGGCAGTAAAAACTAAGATCACTGGATGTTGGAAATTTGAAGAAATATTGCCTTAATCTTGAATGTTCCCTAAAGCATAATAATCAATTTGATACTGATGGTTTAGATTTATTTTCTGAATTAAAAGTATTAAGGAAAATAGTACAATTAGAAGATAACAGTTTAATTGATACACTTAATCAAATAAAAAGATTTAATTTTTTCCAAATGCCTAAATTGCTTATGGAATAATGTTCATAACTCATGTTATCGTTGCTTCAACGGAAAGAAGTTTTCAAAACTAAAATTGATAAAATCTTACCTAAGAACAACAATGTCACAAGAAAGGTTAAATGATTTAGCTATATTGTCAATTGAGAAATACTTATTAGGAGTTATTGATTATAAGAAAATTATTAATGAGTTTGTATCTAAGAAAAGCTAAAAATATATACTTCAAATAAATAAAATAAAAGAATTAAAAAAGTTAAGGCCCCTCGTAAAGTTTGGCTTTCGGCCAAAAAAATCTTCGGGCCGCCCCTGACTCTAGGCAGTCAACTCTCAATAATATCATACTAAAATCATCATAAACTAATATTCTCATCAAAATCATAGTCCGTAAAACAATAAGATTTACGATGACATAAAAGCAAAATGGTTATCAATCATAAACTAGTTTATGTCTCAATGTAACTCTAATAGCATATTTCAATTAAGTAATGTGACCGAGGGCCAATTTTAAGTATCCAAATATTTGGTAAGCCATTATTTCTCATCCCAAATCTCTGTTTCAGCCATTATCAGCATAAGCAGGAGCTAATAGCAAGGAAATTAAAAATAAGATGAAGAAAAAATAAAAATACTCCAATTACAAGATGAAGAAAAATGGGATTAGATGGGGATCAATTTTGCAATTATATTTCACTTCCAAAAAGGCTGGAGAATGCAATCTTGACAACTATTTTTGAAAGTAAAGAAGTGTCAGTGTAGAAATTGGCTAACCTCACTGTGTGTGTGTGTGTTTCAACTGTAGAGATGTAAGAAGATGGTGGCTCCCTTCGGACTCCGGCATCGGGCAACCTTATGATACGTGTTTTGTTTCGTCTTCTACTTATAAAACGTGTATTTACAATCTTCCCCAATAGTTTTCTTCAGTGTTAAAGTCACCCATGAATTTTATGCATTGTTCATTTCTTTAAACCATCTCTTAAAGCCCTATCAACGTGAAACTGGATGCATAAAAAGGATTCATCCATTAGATTAGAGTTTTGTGACAATCGATGTCTCGTGATTTTAGTAAAGCTATTTCGATTAAAAATATTTCTTCATCCGAAAAAGAAAATTATCAATGTACGTATTAAAAATGATATAAACAATTTCTAGTGTACAAATTCATTTATTTTATCATATAAATAATTGCTAGTGTACAAATTCATTTATTTTCTAGTTTGAATTAAACGTTAACTTTAATTCTTATATAATATAAATAAAATACAGAAACGTTTGGCTATACTGTAGTTAACAATGTGGTGTCGCATAAGTAATCTGCACCTAAATGTTCTAAGTTTGAGAAGTGGCTTGACATAAACATCAAGTGTACAATTCAATTAACAATTATTCAATTAATGTCAGTTATTTAAATCTTAACACCTATTTATTCATGTCTACTTCATACCCATACAATATATAATTTGCCTTTCGAAGAAATTAAGATTTCGAGTTCTCATGCTTGAGCACACACATTGGTAATAAGTGTAATCAACTAATCATAATTAGGTTGTTTATTGCTGTTTTCATTCAGCTATGACGTTAAGCATATGGAAGTGCAACCTCTTAAGGTAGTAATATCGCTACTTATCTCTTCAAGTGACTTGTACACCTGTACAAACTTTACGTCACACTTACAGCCTGGGATTATTAGGATTGTTCACACGCTAAATCCACTTATAAATTGGTAATTATAGTGTGTATAATTAGACATTTAGTAATAGTAAGAAAGATTATGTAACTGTGGTGTTATATAAAAATCAATCAAGGCTCTATTCAAAACTAAGATATGAATACCGCACAACCATGAGTCCATGACCCTTACAATTAAGATATGAATAGTAATAGTCATTTAATTCTTGACACGAATCGATTATACTACCTAAAGTGCTTCCCAGAACCAAACTCGGGACTCATAAATAGAAATTGATCAGAGAAGAGTAATGCACAGTCCGCATTATCTCTCTACACTGCATGAATATAAGTTTATTTATACAATTAAAGAGCAAGAATAGTAATAGTTCATTTAATTCTGGATCCGAATAATCGACTATACAACCTATAAGTGCTTCCCAAAACAAAACTGGGACTCATAAATAGAAATTGCTCAGAGAAGAGTAATGCAGAGTCTGCATTATATCTGTACATTACATGAATATAAGTGAACAGAAGCCAGTTGCTGTAGTGTCCAATCACGATGCGCGGTGTGGAGAATGTATCGAAGAAACTGTTCACGGAAGAGGCAATAGAGAGCTTATCTATCCAAAATGTTGGTCAAAACTGAAACAATTGGCTACTACAGGAGACAGATCTAGTGGAGAAAGGATGGCGCTAGTAGCTCAAAGCACATGGCTATGAACCACGGCATCACGGGTCCGATCCAACAGTCACATTGACCTCTGAGCTTGTGAAGTGGCGCCCTATCGGCCTAATGAACACGGTATCAGCAATTCTATCCTTGTTTGCTAGATACATAAGCTTATCTTAGTATGTTTTGCACCTTCTCCAGAGTTCACCAAATATCTTCTTAAGTGTATCGCGGCTTTTGTACAATGTTGTGATACAGAACACAGTAAAATAAGAAAGCTGGAAATTAAACGCTCTGAACCGGTGTCCTATAATTTTCTGTAGGATGCACGCCCATTGAAACACTTAATAATACTTCCCATTTTCATGGTCCATAAGTTGAAGCTTCAATGAAAAACTTGAGCTGATGCATAGTACTCACTTTCATTAAACACAGGTCTTAAATCTTCTTTGCACATAAAATCCAAAGGGAAGGAAACAAGATGACCTTTCACAGACTTTAATCTCTCCATGGGATCTATACCCTCGATATCTCCATCCTGATAAGATTCTAGCTTTCTTGGAGCTATTCCTAAATCAATAGTCGTGTGACCAAGTTTCTCTTTCGAGAATGCCATGCATTGTCGGAGTGAAGCCCTGCATGACATTAGAGGAATATGAGGTCAAAAAGGAAAGGGAAAAGAGAGTAAATGGAGTGAGAAAATGATGGCAGCTAGTTATACCTGGAATGTATCAGATCGTTGGGTACGCAAGAAAAAACATCCTGGTATATCATTGTATTTGTCTGTCAATAACACAATGCTCAAGTATCAGGAAAGGTTGACGTGTTAAAGGACACATGTAAAGTTTTCGAGTGTCAATAATTCGGTTTACAAATAATAATTCCACTGATTTTAAAACTAGGTAATTGTTTTAATTGCAAAAAAGGACCTGTTTTTTCAATCATGAAACTCAAAGAAGCATTTTACCACACATACCTTAGCGGTTGCAATCCAAATATCCTTGTACGTTGAGTCAATCACCGGGTCCTTAATTCGACCAACCTAGCAAGGCACAACAATTAATCAGCTGAAAATTCATATAGCCTAGAACAAAAAGCTTCAGACTGGCCAACAGTTTAGCACCTCAACAGTACGAAGACCAAGGTGCTCAGACCATAGAGAAAGGCGAAGAGTTAATGCAAATTTCCCCGCCTTCCTAGGCTTGCCTCCCATGAATGAATCGACGAACTCTTTGTCCTCGATAAGTACACCAATCTGCAATAAAATCACAATCCTTACTGATCATTAAAGAAGAGGTTGGGTAATAGCAATTAATACAATGAGTACAACATAACTTGTCACCAGATACAACTTCAGAGAGCTAAGGCGACTTATAAATAATGTAGAGGTGAGAGCAGTAAGACTGTTAACGAGTGTGGGTGGAAGAAATGAATACCTATGGCTGTCTTCCACAGGTATGATGCACTCATGCATAATAGTCTTCAAGAAACGACTTGTTGACATAAATATAAAGTTGAGCATCCTTCTGTCAAATTGCTTTATTTTTTCTTATATTCTTTTTTTTTTTTTATGGGGGGGGGGGGGGTTGGGTATACGTAGGTTTGTTCGACAGCGTTCGTCGCAGTTCGGTTACGTTACCCGTA